TGGTAATTATGATGCAACGAGATCGAAATGATCGACGAGCGACTATAGCACTTTCGAACTTTACTCTTTCAAACGGGTAATTACGTTGTTCTCTTTCCGAATTTATGTTTCCCGGAGTTGTGTAAAAATCATGCGGTTGAAATCGATATGACGTTGTTTTCAAATCAAGTGGACACTTACGTACTTACAGGGGCCCCCATGAATTTCCTGGAAACAAAATTTCCAAGCAGCATTCCTTTCAAACGCGAGCTAGTTTACTCGCATATCTTATTATCTCAAACGAGTTCGTGATTGCTGATAGTGAAATTGTTATGGATTAACGGAAAGGGTAGATTTGTCGTTTGAATTACATCTGTCTCATGTTTACGAAGTAATTATTCGTAGAGAAATAATATTCTAAGTAAAAGTTGACAAGGTCTTAAACGTTCTACGTAACGTTAAGATTTCCTTTCAAGTCGTGTATGTCACCCGATACCTTTGATGATTGAGAGTAATGCGTTGTTCGCTATCTCGCATCGTTCTCTTATTGTCAATCGTGTCATGGATATTCGATGTTTTGTCTTGCGATAGACACAACTAACTGATATTACAGTTGGTATACTCTGGATTATGATAGGCATCGATCGCGTTCGCATTCTAATGATCGTTAACACCGAGATAGGATAACCAACTAACCACTTTGAAATCTACTTAGACTCAGACAATTCACGTTTATTGAAACTTCGTCTATTGATCCTTCGAATTCCAATCTTTCGACCTAGATCATTTATCGGATTCGTTTACATAAAAAAATAAAATGTTTTAACGGTAAGAAAGCATCGATAAAAATGATAACGGACTCGCGAACTGGAATCTAATAACGGAGCCGATCTAAATCAGTACGTTAAATGGTCTTCGATGTAATACTAAACTCGTAAATTCCAATCAAATAGTGTTAGTTGGAATGATTGAGGAATAAAACTTCACTCGATGTTATTTGTTAATTTCTTTGATCGATTCTTAAACGTAATCCGAACATACAATTAACAGATTACCTCTCTGTAAAGAATCGAAGACACGCCCGAGTCGACCTATCAACTCTATTTGTCGGTTTATTTTCACGTAGCCAAGAACGCACACGTGTCGTTTAGTGATTGCTATTAAAATTGAAGCAAACCTTTAAGAAAGAGAGAGAGAAAGAGAAAGAGAGAGAGAGAGAGAGAGAGAGAAAGAGAGAGAGAGAGAGAAAGAGATTCGGTCGCGAGACAAAATACGCACGCTTACGCGCTAGTTCGTCGTACAAAACAGGAAGAACCACTTGTCATAGATTAGGCGTGCTCTCCTGTCCGTAGAGAACACACACGTGTGCCCTATGGGACACACGTTCGCCTACACGTACTCCGTCGAAACATTCGATTTAACTATCGTCTAACCTACTTTCGAGCATGTTGTTGTTCTTCTTCATCTTCTAATCAAGTACACGTGGTACTTTCTCATGGCTTGCATACGGTACGAATCAAAAAGAGCCGTGCGATACATGCATATTAATATCACGTACGATCGATAAAGGAGTTTAATACGCGTACTACTCCTTCTGCTGAACGAGCATGTTCTACGTACGTCATTACGGGCTTGTATCTCTTACGTGCGTACCTTCTCTATGGAGTCTTAACTACCTACTAAAATGATTATCGTAAGAATTCTCACGGAAATAAAATCTTATCGGTTCTTTATACTATATTCTTTATTTTTCGAATGATAATAAGAAATCTTGTAAACGTAATCGAAGAGTCGATCGATCGAAAGTTAACGCGACAGATGCTCGTTCTCGCATACGTTCGACAAGCACTTGTTTTTGTAACGTTAATTAGAGCTCCGTTTTACGCGTACTCGCCCGATGTAATAGGGACACACATAGAAACTCGCACGCTCACGAAGGCAGACTCGCAAAGAGACATGCTCGAGTAAAAGGCTGGCACGTATCCTGCGCTCTATCTCTACCTCCGTCGTGCTACGTTGCTACTTCATGCGTGCGTCCGCATTCCTAGCCTTCAATTACGTACGGCCGTAGTTATGTATGTACCTTCGATACGTGCGTGTACTCTTGTCTATTAGAGAACGTCGGCCACGAGATTATTATTCAACCAGAAGTACCGCGACAGCGTGCGCTCGCCCAGTCCGTTGCTGCTGCTGCTGCCGTTGCTGCGCCTTTGTTGCTTCTCTCCCTCTTCATTTCTATCTCTCTTCTCTTTGCTTCTCTTTCTCTCTGTGTTCTCAACTATGCGGCCTAATGTCCCATTCTATGTGCCTGCCTTAAAAGAGAGAGAAAGAGAGAGATCCCTGCCTCTTTATCTGCTTTCCACGCTCCAAGACGCTGGAAATCAAGTCTTCTCTAAGAATCGATTTCAAACTCTCTTCGATGTTCTTCTCCGCTCCATTTCTGCCGATTTGCTGGTTCGTTCCTGAATAACGAGATCCTTCCGTAACGTCGTTATCCTTGCGTTACGGCAAACTGTGGCAAAATGATCGGTTCGTTCCTTTTCTCTCGTTCATTCGTCCGTTCGTTTATTCATCTTCGAAGGTTCCTCTCTCTCTTTCTCTCTCACTCTTTTTTCTCTCTCTTCTAGATCGAAAGGAAGAAAGAAACTTCTATCCGAGATGTGTTACCGTAAGACCTTAAGATACGACGTGGCGAAAGGATTTTTTCACCGGATCGATCGACCGATCGACTTTTAAATTATACACGAGGAGAATATCGTCGATACATAGACGTGTACTCGAGCGAGACGCGACGTGCAGTAGCGATCAATGAATTTGACCCGCGGCGGAATAGATTTATCGTGACGTAACGATCGTTTTACATTGCCTCGTACGATTAATCGATCGAATAAAATGCATTTAGAAGCGCTGAAGCGCAACTCGAAAGCGGACGAGCTATCCTCTGGTCCGAGTTGCATCTGATCTATTCGCTTAACGAAATTACGATTTCCATTATATATACATATATATATATATATATGCGTGCGTGTGTGTGTATGTGTGTGTACACTATTTCGAATTATCATAGATTTTTCTCAATGGAATCGTAAAGAGACGCGTAAGGTATTCGTTCTGCCGCATCTGCCAGCACCGGCTTCTTCGCCGACTTCGTTTCCACGCACGGAAACACATAATTGAAAGGCGAGGAGAGCCTCGTAAATAACTGCGCTAATTATTTCTAGCCCCGCCAATTTCCTGCCTCCTCCTTGCACTCCCTCGTTCTTCCCCCTTCCCCTTTCCTTCCTTTCTCCCTCCTTCTCCTCTTCCTCCTCCACCTCTTCTTCCTTCCCTTCCTACAGTTCTTCCTTTCTATTTCTCTCTCTCTCTCTCTCTCTCTCTCTCTCTCTCTCTCTCTCTCTCTCTCTCTCTTATTCTGAACACTGTTTCCTTCCAACCTGACTTTCCTCGTTTACCCAAGAAATTTACGCCAGTAAGACGAACTCTACATCGTATTTATTATTTTTACTGAAGAAAAAATAAAAAAAAAATAAAAATAAGAAATAAAAGAAAGAGAGAGAGAGAGAGAGAGAAAATTGGAGGATTCTGATAATAAAATATTTGTGACTTGTTGCCGATTTCGGAGCGAGTAAGTAAGCAAGTATAAAGTAAGTACGTGAATACCCGTACTCGAGACCATTGTTTTTTGTTTCTTTCTCAGCTTTATTTTCGAGGTTAATGAAAGGACCTTGACTGATTTCACGAGCGTACGCGCACGCACGAGTATCGCAAAACTTCTCGAGGGGAGAACTCGCGAAAGAAAAGGGAGAAAAAAAAATATAGAGGAAGACTGTGCGCAGAAAGAGTAAGAGTAAAAGAGAAGAGGAAAGGAGGGGGAGGGGGGAGGAAGGGACGGGAGAACGAAGGAAGCAAAGAAAGATGGCGGTTGAGATTATGTGTGTGCTGTTGCCATGCAATTTGACTACCTGCCACGGACACGTGCGCACGGCTAACTTTATTCTCTTTCTCTTTCTCTTTTTCTTTTCTCCTTATTACCTTTTTCTTTTGCTTCTTCCATGACATAAGATTGCCCTTCTTATTATTATTATTTTTCCGATCAAAGATACTAACGCTTCCGATAGTCGCGATTCTTAATCCGGTAGGCAGAGTCGACGCGATTAGTCCGGTTACCGTGGAAAAACGAGGGATGAGAGTGCTTCGTCGAAGAAGAGGGCTCTCATCCGCGAGTCACTTATCGTCTTGTTCTCCCTCGCAAGGTACTCCGAACCTGAGGAGGACTCGGTGCACCTTGTCGAGTGCTCACTACTACCGTCTTTCCTCTATTCCCGCGCATCCGGGAAAAGAAAGAAGGGTGAGAGAGGTCGAAGGCTGTTTACATAGAAATTCCTAGCGTGAAATCTTGTCGAATAGCAGAAAAGAGAAAAGAAGAGAAGAGAGGAGAAAAGAAGAGGAGGTTAGGTAAGGGAAGGGAAGGGAAGAAAAGAGAAGGCAGCGGTACCTGACTTCAGCTCTCCACCTTCGGGACCCCGTGCTGGCGTGGTGCCATTTTTATAAGGCCCATAAAGGCCATGAACGACCGTCGAAAATAGTTTTGGATGGCCGAGCGAGAGCTGGTAGACGCTATTAACTGTTCTCCAGGTACCCAGTGGTATAAAATTGACTTTTTATCGTGACTCGCGCGCTTGAAAGACCGAGAGAAATAGGAAGGGAGAAAACAGGAGGAAAGAGAAAGAAAGAGAGAGAGAGAGAGGGAGAGAGAGAGAAAGAGAGAAAAGAAACGACTGGAAATTAGTCAGCGACGTTTTCGAAGATTCCTGAACGTCGCCGCCACCGTCGACCGCGCGCGTGTTCTTTTGTTCTCCTTTTGCGGACCCAAATACCGTTTTACCGTGGGCATACCGGTGCATTCGAGGCATCGTTCCTTCTCTTTCCTTCCTTCCTTCCTTCCTTCCTGCCTTCCTTCCACTTATATTCTCTCTTACGATTCTCGTACGTTCTCTAGATGATTCCCCTTTCCTCTTTACCTTTATACTCACTCCCCTTGCGACTTCCTTCGACTACTCTTCGTTGTCGTCGTCGTCCTCATCGTCCTCTTCCTCCTCCTTCTCTTTCACCATCTTTCCTCCCTTTTCGCGACTCCACCGCAAAATCGGCAGGATTCCTTAATCCTAGAATATGTATATCCGAAGCGTACAAATATATCTCATTAAGCAACGCGATATACTTATTGTCTTCGATGAATTCTCTCGAAAGTTTATTACGTTAGATCGTATTCCTTAAAAAAAAAAGTAACAGATAAAAACAGAAAAGAAAAAAAAAAAGAAATATCAAAATAATGCCAACCTTTCCGCGTTAACAATAAAAAGAAATTAACATTATGGCAAGCATTTCGTAAAATTTACTTCAATAAATCGTTCCGTTATCATTTATCGTTATCACAGCATCATAAGTTCGATCGTCGTCGATAGTTTAGCTCATGTACGGCTTGAGGATCTTCGTCTCGAGGACGTTTCATTAATAGATGTATAATACCGCAGCATATGCGCGGTTATTAACGGCAGATTTGTGCACCATTGTGCCTCGTAAATTTTCTCGCAATTTCCTTCGGAGAAGTTGACTTTGCGACGAATGAAAAGGGAAGGAGGAGAAGAAAAAAAGAAGGAGAGGTAGCTCGTATAAGAGCCCGATTAATGCATCCGCCAAGTAAATCCATAGAATGATGCACTATCTGCGGTAACTTAGGCCTCCTACGCATAGCTGCCCTCGGAAGCGCGGATCCGAAACGACAGTGATGATAATGATGATGATGACGATGACCGGCCAAAAACAAACCAACCGGCCGACCGACCGACCGACCGCGACCAACCGACCGCAACCGACCGCTTGGTCATCTTTTATTTTCTTTTTCATTTCTTCCGTAGAGTCGCGTACTTCTCTCCTCCTACCTTTTTTTCTGAAGTTATGTTATATTCCATTGTGCGTACAAGCTATTGTTATTATGATTTGTATGACGGTTAACTCGTTAGCTGTCCTAGTCTTCCACGATTAGCCTTTGAGCAGCGATTCAAGATGCTTTCATAGTACCACAGAATGTTCCACTCGACTTAAAGTTGCAGTACTCTATTTGTCGACGCAATACTTATAAACGAACAAAAATAGTAGCTTCGTTCAATTTTAGTCGAACAGATTCGATTTGTTCGATACGGTTCGTTTCATGATTAACGGTAAAAAAAAGAAACAAAGAAAGACCGGTATCTCTTCCTCTTCTTTTTCTTCTTCTTCGAGAAGATGGCTAATTAAAAAATAAACAAAAACGCAAAGGCATTAACAAAGTGACCGAGTTCGACGATTAAAGCGTCCAATCCGTTTCGTCGAGGCTGTCAACGCGCCGCTTCCTGCCATTTGTCAACCAACTTTATGGGTTTTATATGCACAGTCAAGTACGGCTACGAGCGTTCGCGCGAGAAAACGGTATTCGCGCGTCGCTGCGTTCATTAATTTTCGCGGACGAGGCCCGGTAGCCACATGACTCCAGTAAGTTCATTAAAAACGGTATGCGTTGCCTCTACTACGAGACTTATTGCGTTAACCCTTAGAACAAATAATACTTAGAACAAATAAAGGATTAGGTTCATGTTTATATTCAACTAAACAAAATTTCTTTTTCATCCAAACATTTTCAATATATTTCTAAAAATCGGACGAGAGGAAAAAAGTAAACTTTTCCCAATGGCATGAAACAGATTTTGATGGAGCTGATGATATTCTGACGGTGTCGGTAAAGTAACGATCCCGTGATGCTCCGAGTTTATTATGAAGACAGCGTTGATGTGCCAAAGGAGTTAAGGGCTTGGCCTAAACTTACGGCTTACTCCGACTCTTTCTCTCTCTCTCTCTCTGCTTCCCTCTGCTTCTCTCTCTCCTTCTCTCTCTCTCTCTCTCTCTCTCTCTCTCTCTCTCTCCATCTATCTATCTATCTATCTATCTCTTTCTTACTTACTCCCTTGCGAGGTCTTTGCACCGCCAAGTTTGCTTTATAAATATCATCGGAGAACGAGTGGGCTTGCTAGAGAAGCTGCGTCGTTATGGATCCAGAAGCGATCTTCTCCTTCTTCTTCTTCTTCCTTTTTGACAAACTTGAAAAGATCTTCGATAAAGTACGAAGATTCAAAATTGCCTTGTCATTTATTTATATTTATTATTAGAATCAACAATATCTTCATTAGAATCTCGTTAACGAAAATATAATGAGAATCGTTGAAATACGATTGGAACGTTTTCTCCTAGCGATTATTCCGTAATTTGATTGTAACGTTGTTGAGTCTTTCGCCATCTTGCCTGCTTTTTCTCGATGTTCGAATCCAATTCGATCGTAGGAAAGTCCGTTTTGACCGCACCAAAGCCGCTTTTGTTTGGATTGTTTGATATAGCTATCTGGAAAAGAAAAGCAAGGAGAAGAAGATTGTAATTAAAAAAAAAGAAAAGAAAAAAGGGGAAAAAAGATAAATTGGTAGACAAAAGAATGACGATAAAGTCGAAAATCCGAGTCGAAGCGAAAGAGAAAAGGAGGATTGGTAAAGAGCAATGGGGGTAATCTCGTTGGAGAGGATGTTGGAAGGCGCTAATACGTGCCGGCTGTAAAATAGAATGAAGCTCGGCCCGAGATATCTATGCAAATCCTTTCCTACTTGGATGAGACGTGCTTCGTCGGTCTTGATAAACTGTCTGGCCAAGTCTGCACGATCAAAGTATTCGTCCGGCTGCATTTTCGGCCATCTGTCGCGACCGAATGCAAATCGTATCCAACCTTCCGCGAATTTGACTCGGTAAATTTTTAGTATCACTACTTTCCTCGAATCTCATCCTCGCACAGGTTTCGTCCTTAATCTTACCTATTTGAGACCCGGCCGAGACTCGAAACGATGAAGCGCTTTATCGGCACGACGGAGAGTTACGAGCTTGAAGTTTTAAATAGATTTCCCGCCTCCGGCGGGATTTATGCTAATTCGAATTAGACAATGGTTCTTTTATTTTCAGACAGTCACGCTTCCGCGGATCATCCTCCGAGCCAGGACGAATCTTATATCTCAAAGTTTGAAGAATTCAACTTTGGAAGAATCGGGTCTTTTAAAAATCATAGATTAAAAGAGAAAGAGAGAGAGAGAGAGAGAGAGAGAGAGAGAGAGAGAAAGAGAGAGAGAGAGAGAAAGATAGAGAGAGAGAGAGAGAGAGAGAGAGAGAGAGAAAGACAGAGAGAGAGAGAGAGAGAGAGAGAAAGACAGAGAGGGAGAGAGAGAGAAAAACAGAGAGAGAGAGAGAGAAACAGAGAGAGAGAGAGAGAGAGAGAGAGAGAGAGAGAGAGAGAGAGAGAGAGAGAAAAAGGTTCGTATCTCTTTCGGCAAGGATTCTTATCGTCGAGAGGGAACCGCTTCCAGATTTTAACCAGCTCTACGGTGGAACCCGGGTACATTTTCTCTTCAGTCAGTATTTGGGCCAAGTGTTCTCCCTCGTCTGGGCTGTAAATGAGGCCCTATTCCACCGGCGCCGTCACTTGACTTACTTGGCTAAAAGGAAAGAGAAAAAGAAACGCCTAGTAGAGAAGAGCGCATCGTGGAAAATGAGAGAAATTATGGGTGGTACGCCTGCTCCTCCTCCATCTCTAGCAGCAGCCACCAAAAAAAGCTCAGTCGAGAAAGATTTCAAGTACGTCGAGCACGTCACTCGTACAATGCCCTAGGATTAGAATTTTCTAACCGAGTAATTCGTTATTTCGTTGGTAAATGTAGCAGCTTTTTTCATTCCTCGGTCAATCCTTTAAACGTCGTCGAAAAGTGAGATACCCCAAAGACCAAAACTTTGCTATTTCGTCCGCAAACTCGTTCGCATCTCGGTAAGTAATTGTATGAATAGTTAATTAAAAATGTTAGCTTCGTTAGATTAAGATAAAGATTCGGGGAATGGTAGAGAGTGATTTAAAAAAAATTTCATTTCGGAGAATGAGGTACCCTGCCAGTTTTAAGCCGACAAAAACTCTCTCAACCGTATTTGGGACAAGTACTGTACCCGTCTGGCTTGAAAATGAGGCCCTGTCTACTGCTGCCGCCATCACTTGACTTACTTGGATAAAAGAGAAAAAAGGGACGGAAATAGCAAAACGGAGGTAGGCGAAATGGAAAAGAAGGGAAGTGGAAAGGAACGACGGCGAATGAACTCGTCGCTTTGATCGAGAATACGAGGGAGTTGAAAGAAGAAGTTAACTGCGACTGTTCTCAAGAAAATCGTCATTGCAAAAAATTAACGCATCCAATTTATTCGTCCAACCGTGTTAGAGAGAACGAGAATTTAGCGAAAGAGGGAAGAGAGAGAGAGAGAGAGAGAGAGAGAGAGAGAGAGAGAGAGAGAGAGAGAGAGAGAGAGAGAGAGAAAACAGTCAATGCGGAAAATCACTTGTTCCTTGGCAGATAGCTTCGTGTCAAGGAACGGCATAGAGTAGACCGACGTCGACACTGAGGCCAAAACCGCCAACGACAACTCGACGACGATGATACATCCATCTGGATCGTCTAGACCACTTATATGCTATAACATATCATTGTCGCGGCCGCTCGTTATAATCTATGCCGTGACACAGTCGGCGCTCGGTCGAATCACGATGAGAAAACGGACCAGACTCGTTCTATTTGAGACGAGACGAGTTTCCTGCGAAAACATAATCCATGTTTCGAATAGAATTACGTTGAAACTTTAATCTACTCTTCGCTCGTCTAAAAAGCTGACGAAGGAGATTAAAATATAGGAGACTAAAATTTTCCGTCTCGGTGAAGGTATAACGCTAACGAGATATATCCTAGCTTATATATTTATACGGATCGACCGAGAATAAGAGAGTTTGCCGATTTTATATAATAAAAATGTACATATGATATATCTCTCTCTTGAACAAACGACTTGATCCATCGTGAGACAATAATGTTTTCTTTTGGAACGAAAGAATACCGAGAACGTCTGGGTTACGTCAATCGATCGATAATGCAAGAATTGGAAGAGAACGACTAGGTAGAATATCAAGAGAGAAGGATAGAAAGAGACGACGAAACCGTCGTCGTTTCAAACTTTCATACGAAACGGCGACCGATGTTAACCGTCTGGGAGCGAAACTATTCTCGTTCCTTCCAGGTGTCGCGACCCAGATCTCTACGATCTTACCGCAAAATAAGTTTTATCCGAGTAAGCTTTGAAAGTTCCATCTTCTAGGAAAATAGGCAAATAGGGCAAAACGTTTCGATGGGAGACAATACATCGTGACGATTACCGATTAACGCCCGCCAACCGGCAGTCGCCAGCTACGAACACGTCGCGACGTCTACACACTCGACATCTACTTCACTATCATCGTTTAACTTTGGACGAGCACTCTTGATGCGTGCGCGTATTCGAATGCGTACGCTCATCATTCGTCGCCTCCGTCAATTCATCGCTCTATCTATTTATCATGTCGACCTTGATGAAGTTCTTCCTTCCTTTTTATACTTTCTTTAAATGTTAAAAACTTAACGTCGAACATTTGTCGAACTTTTTACAAAACTTGTCGAGAAAAAGAGGGAGAAAAAAGATCAGATGTCTCTTTTTAATTAAAGTTTGCTATTCGGAAATATAGGAAATGTCTAAAACCGAAAAGAACACGAACGCAAAAGTGTGGTCGGTCATCTTTGATGCAGGACGTGCGGAAAAGGAAATTCCTGGATCGAGAAAGCAGACTCTCCCTCCATTCTCTCTCTCTCTCTCTCTCTTTCTCTCTTTCTCTCTCTCTCTCTCTCTCTCTCTCTCTCTCTCTCTCTCTCTCTCTCTCTCGCTCAGTTTCATTTGTTCTCCGATAGACATTGGGACTTGGACAGACAAAACGGTGCCGGCAGACGTACAATAACATATTGGGAATTCGCAGGTTCTTCTTCCGGAGGAAGAGGAGGAGGAGGAGAAGGAGCAGGAGGACGGTGGTAGTGTGCCAGACGGTCTGTGCCAGTTCGAAAGTTTGTCCCGGTTTGCCCGTCTGGCATTACCGGAGATGGGGGTGTAGGAGGTGGTAGTACGTGAACACCGCTACTGCGGTCGTAGTAGTCGTTGTCGTCGCACCTTGACAGGTTGAATGTGGGCTTTCCATGCGCGGAGACAGCATATTGGGTTCGAAACTTTGCTCGTTTACAACGCCGCCGGTGTGTCCGCCCGTCGCCTCCGGTCGCTACCAAGAGCCGTCGTAGCTTTCTGAAATAAACGTCACAGACTTCTCTTTGCTTCTACTCTGTCTCCTCTCTCTCTTTCTCTCGGCATTTCCAACGGCAACTCCAATTCTACGTTCTGTTTTTATCCCTTACGTCGTGTCTCACC